TATATAGCTAACTTAAGAATAGTATTATAGTCAAGCACACAAATAGTGGGTTCGAAAACGCGAATGACAAATTCGCTCGGCGAAGGTACAAAGCAGTTGCATATGGTGCTGGCAAAGCAAAAACACTCAAGACTGTTTCAATACTCAAAGTTCTTTAAAGCAGTTCGAGAGTAGTGACATGATTGAAAGCATGACTATAAAAATTACCTTAAGCCTGGAATTATTTCCGAACACTCATGCGAAGCCACTGCGAGGACATCTGTGGCCCCACCTTACTAAGTTCAAATGCCACTATTTTGAAATTCTTTTCATTCTTAGGATCTGAATTTGCAATCATAAAACAAATTCGATGTAAGCATGTCTTCTTTTCAGTTTACAAAATACTAACACGCCCCGTGCACGGTGCTCAAACGCCTCACACGTAGATTCTCATTAGATAAATAAATAAATAGCAATGCGAGCATTGCGTACATGTCGATAATGAATAGTCGGATATTTGTGCGTGTGTTATGTGATTTTTATAACATACTAATAAAATCAGAACAACGCGCGTACTCGGCATTGACGACAGAAAGTGACGGGTGTATAGCCATATAACCTGCGGATTATATGAAATAGCAGTCAACTTAGAGCAACGCGAATACTGATACGTCGACGACGCGGAGGTAAGCTGCTTAACCGCGTACCTTGTAAAATAACATTATCAAAATTTGTTCACTGCCATGGACATGTTGCTATATGGATGATGTAAAGAATGTGTGCCTGATCAAGTGTCTCGTACATAGTATATTGGATGCATAAATTCATAGGAGCGCATGTACTCATCCATCTAACATACCCTTTAGATTGATCGCTTTGAGTTCTTGTATTTATATATAGGGATTCCAGCACCGGTCAAGCGGGCCTTTACCGGCACTAACGCCACGCCAGATACAGTCAGTTTCAGTATACACAAGTAACTTGATTTGATCGCATACTTCAACTGCAACTCCTCGTTCTTCGCTTTGTTCCTTACTATCATCACTCGATAAACCTGGTGCGTGTTTGAGGAAATGCGAGAGTCAGCAATGTACGATATATCATGTTGTATTTTGATATGATCATATTATCGAGGTGATGACCTCGAAATCGAATCTTCGTAGAAGAGTTAAGGCTGTGATAGTATCATATTTTTGTTTTCGCATCGTTCAATTATGAGTCCAATATGGCCAAGCCAATTGCAGACACGTGTAATAAACAAAAGTCTACTTCATGTGAAAGAAAATTATTATTTTGCTGGCGGCAATAGTCATAGCTGAAATGACAATACACTGTCTTCTCAATAACGCTCCAAATGGGCTAGATAAAGGTACAAATCAACGATAAATAGGAACCTAATCGGCATCCTCATTGAAACCTTGCATTTGAATCGGAGTCAATGCGATAAACAGAGCAGATTGAAATACACTCACAACAAAATGCTTGCACCTGATGTTGAGAACTATAGGACAACGAACAGGTCAAATTCGGAGTCGCATGCTACATCACGAGATTTGTCAGGTCAATCACGAACGCCCTCGGCCCGGCAACACATACCTGAAACGACGCATCCAGAGCGATATCCTGGTACATGTTCTCCGACATATCATTCTGCTTCGGGATATACGCCTTCCGCGCATTGTTTGTTGGATTGACTATCGGCTCGAACATTGCGTCACCCACAGCATACGATACTGTGGCCAACACATTCCTAGGTGATCGAGTCGTCCCTCTCCTCGGGGACGATGAGTTCGAGGTTCTAGAATCAGGACTCACCAGATCTACGGAACGAGGACTAAACCTCGCTGCACATAAGCTACTTTGTACATATACTACCCACATTTAAAACGTAACGAGTACGACACAAAGCAAAGAAGGGTGCACACATACTGGGTTTACAACTTGTATTGCGGTACAACAGACAAAAATCATAAAGAAGAAGAAAAATAGAAACTCTATAACCTTTGATTAAAAAAACACACCTTCGCCAATCTCTGACATACCTTCGCTGTGCTGGTAAATTCAGATCTTGTGGTGAATTACTGTCTGTTGCATCGAAACTTCCAGGGTACTCAAAGCCTCCCATAGCTTGTGCTGTGTCAGGTAGTGTACCAGTGCGAGGAGTGACAAGAGTTCTGCGCGCCAGTACGTATACGAAAAAAAGAAAAAGAAAAATAGACGATCAAAAGAATACAAAGATAGACTATTAAATATTCAACATTTCCCATCCCTCCTGCCATATCCGGTGACATATAGGTTCGGGAACAAGCACGTGTATCATGCACCGGTGCACGTATGAAAGAAACCAATTAATACATGACTACGAGGGACAATATAAGGTGCAATGGTCTTAAACACGCAGTCTCCATCATCCGCGGGCAGCAGAGTATACACTGGTACTACACACGACAAGTGTACCGCGTATGGAGCAAGATGCCAGAGATCTGCACTTTTTGCAGCTTTGTCGTACTGATATTGTACTATGACACTAAAGTAGAATTGAATCGATAGGATTACAGTTCTATGTAGAGATTGAGTTTCTCGTGGAAAGAATTGCCGTACGTGTTTAACACCCGCGAGAACGTCGTTTTCGCCGTCTATGAAAGCTAAACGGCCATCAACACTGTCAGAGAAAATGGCCTCGGCTACAAGCACATTGAAACGCATATATACGTGTACAGGATTGAAGGTCCATGGTCGAACTCATCCCACTTTACGAAATAGCATTGTCAATGGAGCCTGTGGAACCTGATATAGAAAGAAATTAGACTAGACATTTATTAAACAATATCTTCGATTGGGTAATATAGACTTGGATATACCGTGGCGAGTCTGTTCCAAGTGAACCGGGTGAGATGAGCGAACTACGCGTAGCCCCATCTGAGGGGCTGCCTTGGGGCGTTTTGTGGAATCGAGAGGAAGTCAGCCGTCTGAAGAAACCCACTTTGGGTGACTCGGTCTGTGGTGTACCATATGGGACGTATGAGTGTAGGCTCGCAGTGAAAACGAACCAAGGAATACTTAGTTTGTCTGCAGATTCTAGCGATTTTACCAATGTCAATTGTGGAAATAAAGGAGTATCGAGAACTAGTAAGGTTGTACCGTGCATCTTGTGAGATCAGTAGCTGTATCAACTGTGCATCACACTTGCACTTACCTGACTGGGGGATCTATGCTTGGCTGCTTTGCTGCTTCACGCCCAAAAAACACCAAAGAAATTGGAACCGCTATGGGGCGGGTAAATGAACTGGGAGACATTTGACCATCAACCACAGACCTACGCTGATAGGGCCCAGTACCGCCCGCATGCTTAGTCTTGTCATCGGTAACATGCTCGGTGGATATAGGGCGCGAGCGACTTGGCGAAGAGGCTGTGGTAGGTATAGCAGACGTGGATGTTGGTCTGGCAATGGGCTTATATCGTGTTTCCAGAGGATGTTGTGCACTGCTGTTTTAGGGTTTAGGGTTTTTTTAATGACTTGGGTATTGCAAGGTCTGACCGGGTGGACGACTGGCGGGTGCTGGGTTCTGTGGCGAACGTGACGGCCAACGGAAACGATTGCTGTGTCTCGCGCAATATCTCTCGAATAATTGGGCTCGAGAATGGATGTGAGTGTGAGTGTGATTGTCCGTTGGTACGTTCTCATTACTAATTTCTGCGGGGCGGTCAAGTCGATTGATGAGTCGGTGTGCGGGAAGGTGCTAGCATCTTTTGTCCGGCGTACTTGCGAGGATACCCGGGAGTGCTGATGCCCCACTTCGAAGGATACTGGTTGGGGGCCCGAGATATCATCCTACGATGGTGCTGACAGCGCTATAACAGGGCTACTAGCTTGCAAGGTTGATTGCATAGAAGAAAATCTCGAGAACACACCTTTCAGTATAGCCTGGGTAGTGGCATCGGTATCAGCACTATGGCTAATGTCTGCAAAGCTCACTCGCCTCAAGAGTTTTGTGCCCCCAACAACCCGCACCTGTGAGAATACGTCTTCTTGACTTTCCTTCTTAGGGATTGCTGCGGTACCATTGCATATGCTATTGGGTCTGTGGGGGAGATGGGTTTCAAAATCCAACTGCGCTGGCTTGTGGCATTCACGCACAGTACCGCCATCACTGAGTTTAATAGGGAGTATGCACGACCGTCTTCTATACAATTGCCTCCTGCTCGACGACCCTTCTGCAGAGAGCCCCTCAATAGTGGGATGTGCAGCATCGGTTTTACTGTCAGCTGGAATAGACTCATCGCTAGATTGGGGACAACAGTCGAAACTGGTGAGTCGTTATTATCAGCCCTGCCGGGGGGCGGATTTCCCTCCATGTCTATCTGATATCACTATGGTACTGTACATCTGAAACCACCCGTGCATCACATACGCACATACAGAACGCATGCATACTGCGTATGTAATGCTAGCACACCTGTTGCGTGTTTCAATAATAATGATTTATGGTGGACCTACATATCATCAATTGATCTCAGCGATTATCGCGGAGTTTATTTTTGTAGACAAAAAAAAAGAACGACATATTTAGGTTTTAGGGTTGAGTCGGTTGTATACACCATAGCCTCCTAAAATAATTACAGTAGGCGGCTACATGCAAGCATACACCATAGCCTCCTAAAATAATTACAGTAGGCGGCTACATGCACGCATACACCATAGCCTCCTAAAATAATTACAGTAGGAGGCTATATGCACGCATACACCATAGCCTCCTAAAATAATTACAGTAAGAGGCTATATGCACGCATACACCATAGCCTCCTAAAATAATTACAGTAGGAGGCTATATGCACGCATGTAGTAATATTGTTCTAAATACACGTATGTAAGACATTGTTGCACACGGTGTTAACTACAACAGTTTATTCGACCAACAACCCAAAGGCACACATCATGTTCCTACACGTTAGTATTAGTAACTATTGTGTCTCGGATTTATAATTGAGCACTATATGCAGCACGTACGTGCATAGCATGTGTGATGCAACCAACAGGATCAGGGTGCACTACTCTACACAGCCACAGCTTGGTCTCCAAGCGCATGCGTTCACACAGACACAGACCCAATCCACACAGATACCTAAACCGAAGTTTGGCATCAGTATACTAAAACTTGACAACTATCTCACCGCCCCCGTGGAAGGCCTGGACGACTGTTTGCTCGAACCTGGCTCTCAGTCGAACTACAGTGAGGTGTGTTTGCCAGTCTCTCGCGTGTGATGTACCACCAATCTGTGCTAACTCAAAATCCTAGATATAGTGTAGATGTACGGAATAAACCTGGCTCTCAACTAAAGTACAATGCGGTGTGTTTATCTGCCTGTCGCATGTGACGTACCACCTATCGTGTGCAAACTCGATTTGTGGGATATAGAGTTTTTAGAACGCGGCTTTGCTGAGTTGTTTACTGTGTGCACACGCAGTGAAATTGTTGGGGTAAACACGCTAACCGCATCAAATACCTGTTGTATATCATATGAACTTGTACAAAATCGTGCACACAAGATATGTATTCTACTGTAAAATATGTGTTGTGATTCAAGTGTGGCGCTGGTGGGCAATAATAGCAGAGTCCTGCGTCATACGATATGTAGTATAGATGAATACAAGCGCTCACCAGATATATATGCTATAGCCAAGATCAGTGTGCACGCCGTGGTATGACGTGCGTGTACGTGTATGTACACACACACACACACACACATATATATATATATATATGGGGTAGATTTTGTAGATATAGTTGAACAGCTTACAAGGCACAGTCTATGCATGTCGAATCTATTCTTTCGTCGTTCAAAACGGTTTGATTCTCTAATCTAAGCAATTCTATCATCTCGGAACTCTCAAATTATGGAACATACAATACAATGCTGTACTCGTTATACTGAGCGGTCGTATAATAGTCCCTTTATTGCTGGTGTATCCATCACATCAATTTCACGAGTGCGATGTACATGTTTACCTTGACGGTCAGAAACAACTCAGACTGAGTGCGAACGTATCAATCTGAGCGAGGATTGATGGCTCGCTACAGGATGAGAATAGTGGTAAACATCTCCTGTATTGATCTGGAGGGCTTTTTCGCCCCAGTAGATCGAGACTACTCAAAGCCGACGACTTTTTCACCTTAGAGTAGAATATGGTGTCCATTCACTAGCACGTGGTTGTGAGCTAAACGTCTCATGACAAAGAACCATCAATTTTTTTCCACACCCTTCTCCGGCGACACTGTTGCAGGTTCCCGTGACCCGGGTGTTTGGATCGACCCCAGCCAATCAGAAGTGCTGCTTACATGTGCACGGGTAAGTGGGAGTTCGGACACAATTTGCATAGCTATTTTCGTCTCACAAATATACACAAACTATGTATATTGACAACTGTTTATACACATGCGAGTAAAAGTGCATGGTTATGCGCATGGTTGGTTGTTGCATGCAATTCGATGCTCCAAGATCATGGTCAATCGTAGGTTGTGGAAGAAGTTCAAAATTTTAGATGGTCGTAGTAGTCGGCACACCCTAATGTATGACACTGAAGGATTAAGCATGGCACAACGTGTACAAGTAGCGGTCGGTAGTGCCATTTGAAAAACAAGGTAAGATAGTGAGGGATTGATTATGCCAATAAGAGGGCACATTATGCAGTGTCCGATAAGCATCGAGGGATTAAGCATGGCACAGCGTGTACAAGAAGCATCAGTATGTAGCAATTCCAAGGTTTGTCGCCTATACCCTGAAAACCTGGATATCCCATGGTGTATATGCCAATCTCAAGCAGGCGGATCGTCTTTGCGGAAATTCTTGTTCTATCTCAAAATTGTGAAGTGGATATATTACAAAGGCGAAGCTACCTACTTAAGACTCGACACATTCTTCTGCATGCAATACACTAACTGAGTCCCCGATCATTTTGACACCAGTACACTTGCAGATGCCAGACATGAACTTGAGCATAGCTACTAAGAATCTGACTGAATTCTATAACATACGCCGTCGAGTCAACACCCTTAAATCATGAAGACACAGCCCCTCAAGCAACAAATCGCATGGCCCCGTGAACCACGAACTAAGAAGTATACCATAAAGGGACAGTATCTATAGTAAATTTATTATCATCGATAGTGACCCAACTCACGCAGTGCGTACTTAAAGAGCCTCAATCTTTCCAGTGAGAACCTTCTCCAGAGCAAGAGTGTCCTTTGCAAAGCCTCTGATACCCTCAGCCAGCTTCTCAGTGGCCATGGCATCTTCGTTGAAAGCGTATCGGAATTGCGCCTCGTTGAAAGACACCTTGGGGATATTTAACTCTTGCGCCTTCTCTACAGAAAGCACTTCGGGAACCTCGTCCTGAAATAGGCAAAATTACGAGAGCAGAGAAATGAGCCGGTTATTCCAAAGAAGTAAATTTGATGTCACTCAACGAGGGTCTGATTCGCGAAAAAAAATTCTTTGCATACCTCAGAATCGCGCAGCTTCTGTAAAAGCCCTGGGCTGATGGTAAGGTAGTCCACACCGGCTAATCCCATGATCTCCTCTGTGTTTCTGAAAGATGCACCCATCACAATTGTGTTGTGACCGTGCTTCTTGTAATAATTGTAAATTTTCGTTACTGAGACAACTCCTGGGTCCTCCAATCGTGCGTAGCTCTCGACATTATCCTGCGCAGGCGACAATTCAAGTTTCAAGTTTATGATGATTAAAACCGAGAACGACTTTACTGAACTACTCTAACCAAATTAGCCACAATGAATATCCAAGTCGGACGTGCTCCCAAATGCAGCAAAAGTACATTCACGAGTGAAAAGACCTATTGCTCCCGCACTAATTAAAAAACCAGACATATACTGCCAAAAAATTGCTTATGACATGCACATGCAAAAGCAATCCACTCAGATAAGACCTTCCCCAGCATGTGGAGGGCTAAGTGAAAACTGTACATACCCTTTTCTTGTAGAAATCGAAGATACGTCCTACGAACGGTGAGATAAGAGTTGCGTTCACCTCAGCACAGCAGACAGCCTGGTAAATTTCGTATATGGAAGGATCCAAGGTAAGAGGAATATATGCATGTTGTAATGACATAATTAAGCGAAACGGAACATAGCCCCTATCGTACATGAAGGTGATGTAATTAATTGATAGTCGCCATCACGACAGAAAAAATATATGAAATTATCGCTCTGTGGCATCTCTTTTAGATCGTGTTCGTGTGTTGGTCACTAGGTTTCCTTGACTAAGCGTGTCCGCAAACTAGAAACACTTGAGATTCGGTAGTTCCTATACGAACGTGTAGCAGACACAAATATCCAACAACTGTCGCACATACCTGGGCAAAGTTGAAAATTAATGTCATGTTGCAATGGATTCCCTCAGCCTCCAGAGCCTTGGCCGCTTGGATTCCCTCCCAAGTAGATGCAAGCTTAATTAAGATACGGTCGGGGCCGTAGCCCTTTTCCTTGTATAGCGCCATTAAGGTGTGAGCTTTTGCTATGCTGCCCTCGGTATCAAAAGAGAGTCTGAAAAGAAAAGAAAAGAAAAGAAAAGAGAAGAGAAGAAACATAAACAGTTCAGTATACCTCAGTCATGACCGCAGTGATATAGTGCACGTAACAAACAAACGAACAGCAATTACCCGAACTGAACCCTTCACCGTCTAGGTATAGAACTGTGTATTGGCCAATTATATGCTGCTGACTAACGCTCAAAATGTCGAGTGATTTACCTTGCATCTACTTCTGTTGACACGCGACCAGGGACAATCTTCAAAATTTCACATCCGAAGTTCACAGAAAGCTTATCCATAGCAGACTCAACCTGTTGCTCGATGGTCTCGCCGTTCTTCTTGCCTACAAAACACAACGGAAATTTCGAGAAAAAATAATATCAGCAGACTGAAATAAGATACTTCCTACTGGCAAAGCAATTGATAGAATTCCGTGTACGATCATAGTAAGATAGAGCGATACAGCTGTATACGAACTTACCATACTGACAGGCGTCTTCGACAAGTGCACTATACTTCTCGATCTTGGCAGCAGCGGCCAGTAGCGACGGGTTTGTTGTTGCGTCTTGAGGTGTGTAAGCGGCGATCGCTTCGAAGTCACCGGTGTCAGCCACTACAGTGGTCAACTTCTTTAGACTGTCCAGAGATGAGGTCATGATGAGAAAAGAGTTTGATGTAAAATAGATAAAACTTATGATAAGAACGACGATATAATGAACATACTCGTTTGCTTACAATCCTATTTGTATTTTTATTCTACCTAGAGTTTTAATTTTTTTATATTTTTAATAAAAAACACACAAAGGACTCATCGGCCCTCGGGGGCAGAGGTGAGCTGAGGTGAGTCGCCGAACATCCAACCCGAAATTCCATATATAGTATTTTTGTTTGTATACAGTATTTAAAAATACATAAATAATTAATCACACAACTCGCTAGTCTTTTTTATACATATTTTTAGTAAAAGTAGGCTATGGTATGTACACACAAAATATTTTTTTGTTCTTATAAAAATTAAAAAAAGAGAAGAGATATATGTAAATATCTTGTGTGTGTATAACTCTACGTCACGTACTATATATATATTTTATGTTTGTATTTATTCATTTGAGTCCCGTGGGTCCGTGGCCCCGTGCCCGTGGCCCCATGTCCCATGACCTGGCTTGGTTTTCGACATGGTCTGAAAGGTTTCCGACGTGTCCGACATTTTTTTTAACCATATTAGTTTCCGACAATGTCGGAAACTATTTCTGACATACGAAAAAATGAAATCTGTACAAGCCAATCAGAATAGATAAATGACAAATATTAATATTCCACCAATAAAATTTGCTATATCTTACACTTTTAAATATAAGCCAACTAAACTGTAGATAGAAACGGCTGCAACGCGGTTCACCGTTGGCTTTCAGGCGTTCGGTTCACGGTTCAGTGATCGTCGTTCACAGCGTTCAGGCGTTCACGGCCACGCCTTCAGTTGTAACATCTTGAATTCTTGACAGTTGATGAGTGTTGACCGTGACACACTACTAAATTAATATTATATTATACCGGCTTGGCAGGCGCCCGGACTAAATAATTAATAACCGCCAAGTTCGCTAACGCCTCAGAAACAATGAAGCGGTAGCCAGCCCTTAATTCTGGCGGGCAGGAAGTACCAATTATATGTTTGTTTGATATAAACTTACATTTGTATTTATTAATATTTACATAACTACTATGTATAACCCATTTTCTTTTGAACGTGAATACATCTTTTAGGACAAATAGATAAAGAAATATGCATGTATGAACGTTGTGTAATGAACATTCCACTTCAATATGTCTCTATGAACGTTGCGTAATGAACATTCAACTTCAATATCTAGGGCAAGACGGTAGACCACAGTGTCAATCCAATGTTCACTTCACATTCTATAATAGTAAATGGGAGTGTAATTCTTGTGAGAAGAGAATGGTGAAGGGTACTAGTGCGTTACATAAACGGAAACACCTAGTAGAGTGTAAGAAAACGACTAATGCAGTGCGCCTCGAGTACCAAGGTTTTCTGTCGAAGAAGAAAGCGAAGGACCTGGGAATTAATTACGTAGACTCCTTAAGCGTAAAGGTAAGTTAACTACCACAACATTTTTTTTCTCTTGTCTAAGCTAGTCGTTAAGAGACAAGCTAGTAGTCATAAATTAAGATTATGACCAAGAAAGACAACACTCCTTCTACGAAGCGTAGAGCTGAAAAGAAGAAGATGGAGAGAGAAGCCACTAGCGCTGCCGCAGCTATTACTGCTGCACAAGCAACCGACGCCGCTGCTGATGCATTTAAACGCACTGTAGCCAAAGTACTTGCCTCTGATAATTATAGTCAAAAGGACAATGCTTCAGATAATGATGTACCCACTCCGCTTAAGGAGACTACTTTATCTGACAAAGCCTGAGGGCCAACCATTGCCTCAACTTCAAAGCTTGCGTTAACGAAGCTAAGAAGTGAGACAAGGGATACGTCTCAAGACGACCCAACCCTATCTTCTGACGAAAATCAGAAAGGAAAGTCCCCAATTATGAGAGCGTCCCCAATTATAGGGGACTAAGGCAAATCTCAGAATAAACCTATTATGGAGCCTGTAGAAATACGGCATCCGGTCAGTCTAAAATATCAAGATCAATTGAGATCATACATTGGTTTTTATTTGTATTTTAAAAAATTTAATACAAGCTCTTTTCCAATATTTCCAAAGTGTTGGAAATTCACTTTGATGGCTCCAATAGCCTGAGTATTTGGTATGACTCATCTACTTGGACCTATTTGAGACATTAGTAGATGTAGGATATTATAAACTAAATTTATAATCTCTGAACTACTACTTATAGATTTTAGTCCTCCCGCCAATCTCCAAAATCCAATAAGTGCTTCTTTTTTTAACTTTTCTTCAGATGGAAC